CTGAAAGTACGGGCTGTGGCAATTGGGACATCATGGCAGAAGTGGGGCTGGTTGATACAGTGGAACGCCGATTCTGGGCCCGGCAAACAAGCAGAGACTGGTGGGATGGCGTAGTGTTGCAGGTATGGGATGATTCCCAGTGGCTGCGAAACTTTCACATGTGTAAGGCCACTTTCCTGGAACTCTGTGAGTTGCTTTCCCCCGCCCTGAAGCGCAGGAGTACCAAGATGAGAGCTGACATGACGGTTGAGAAGCGAGTGGCGATATCACTGTGGAAGCTTGCAACGCCTGACTGCTACCGGTTAGTCGGGAATCAGTTTGGAGTGGGCAAATCTACTGTGGGGACTGCTGTGATTCAAGTAGCCAATGTAATCACTGACGTTCTGCTATCAAGAGTAGTGACTCTGGGAAATGTGTAGGTCATAGTGGATGGCTTTGCTACAATGGGTTTCCCTAACTGTGGTGGGGCGATAGACGGAACGCATATCCCTATCTTGGCATCGGACCACCTTGCCAACCAGTACATAAACCGCAAGGAGTACTTCTCAATGGTGTTGCAAGCACTGGTGGATCATAAAGGACGTTTCACTAACGTCAAAGTGGGATGGCCGGGAAAGGTGCATGACGCTCACATCTTTAGGAACTCCGATTTGAGCAGCTGCAGGAAGGGATTTACTTCCCAGATCAGAAAATGACTGTTGGGGATGTTGAAATGCCAATAGTTATCCTTGGAGACCCAGCCTACCCCTTGTTCCCATGGCTCATGAAGCCATACACAGGCACCCTGGACAGGAGTAAGGAACAGTTCAACTATAGGCTGAGGAAGTGCAGAGTGGTGGTAGAATGTGCCTTTGGATGTTTAAAAGCTCGCTGGCGCTGTTTGCTAACTAGGTTAGACCTCAGCGCAACCAATATTCCCATTGTTATTACTGCTTGCTGTGTGCTCCATAATATCTGAGAGAGTAAGGGGGAGACGTTTATGGCAGGGCGGGAGGTTGAGGCAAATCGCCTGGCTGCCAATTTTGAACAGCCAGACACCAGGGCGATTAGAAGAGCACAGGTAGGCGCGCTGCGCATTTGAGAGGCTTTGAAAACCAGTTTCATGACTGGCCAGGCTACGGTGTGACAGTTGTGTGTGTTTCTCCTTGATGTAAACCCGCATTCTTTGTTGATTTTAACTCCCTGTAAGCCAAGCAACCTCCCTCCTTCAATCACAGCTGGCAAAGGAAATAAAGTCACTATTGTTTTGAAACCATGCATTCTTAATTAAAAAAAAAAAGGGAGATGACTGATAAGGTATCCCAAGTGGGGTAGGGTGGGGTTGGGGAGGAGGGAAGGACAAGGCCACATTGCTTATTGTAGCCACACTATAAATCAAAACTGTTTGAATGACAGCCTTCTGTTGCTTGGGCCATCCTCTGGAGTGCAGTGGCTGGGTGCCCGGAGCCTCCCCCCGTGTTCTTGGGCGTCTGGGTGAGGAGAACATGGAACTTGGGGAGGAGGGCAAGCAGTTGTACAGTGGATGCAGTGGCGGTCTGTGCTCTTGTTGGCTTTCCTGCAGCTCCACCAGATGCCTGAGCATGTCCGTTTGCTCCCCCATTAGCCTCAGCATTGCATCCTGCCTCGTCTCATCGCACTCACTTAATGCTTTCCTAGACTCTGCCACTGAATGCCTCCATGCATTCAGCTGTGCCCTATCAGTGCGGGAGGACTGCATGAGCTCGGAAAACATGTAATCACGAGTGCGGTTTTTTTCGCCTTCTAATCTGCGATAACCTCGGACAGAGATGATAGGGGGAGCATAGAAACATTTGCACCTGTGGGGGGATAAAAAGGGAGGGTAAAATTTAAGATGACACATTTCTGAGAACAAAAGTGAGACTCTTTCACAGTGAATCAAGCAATTCACAGCAGACAGCACATGTGCTTTAGGTACAAGATTGCATTTTGCCTTTTATATTGAGTGCCTGTTGGTATGGTGACACATCACACACGGCTGGGCAACAGAATTCGGTTTCCAGGCAGCCATGGTAAGCCAAAGGGTATGCGGATTTGGCTTCTAACGCCTTCATAACATGTGGGAATGTTTTCAAATTGCGGCGCCCTCCTTTCCCATAGCAAGCAATGCCGGTTGGGTTTGCCATTTAAAAGGAGGAGCTGTGGTTTTCGGGTGGATGTGCAGCACACTCCTCCTCCCACCCTGCCGCGTGGCTATTTGAGATGATCCCTTCACCTCTCTCCCCGCCGTGTGGATAGTCTCAGGGATGATCCCTTTTAGCCAAACACAAACAGCCCAGCATGAATGGGATCCTTTTACTGTTCCCTTACAAAAATTCCCCTATTTCAAACAGGTGACCAGGAATGATATCACTCTCCTGAGGCTAACACAGAAAGATATAGACCGAATGTTGCTTCAATGTGACCAAAACGCAGGACCATTCGCTGCCATGCTTTGTGCTGCAATGATTCCAGACTACTTGCTACTGGCTTGGTGTGGTAAAGTGTCCTACCGTGGAGGACGAAATAAGGCAGCCCTCCCCAGAAACCTTCTGCAAAAGCTTTCAGAGTACCTCCAGGAGAGCTTCATGGAGATGTCCCTGGAGGATTCCCGCTCCATCCCCAGACACATTAACAGACTTTTCCAGTAGCTGTACTGGCCACGAATGCATCCCAAGTCTTCAGGGCAAATCAAACATTAAACACTATTGCTTTTAAACCCTGTACTGTAGTTACAAATGTGCACTCACCAGAGGGGCCTTCTCCACCTTCAGGTTCGGGGATCCCACCTTGGGAGGGTATTGGCTCCAGGGTGATGAAAAGGTCCTGGCTGCCGGGGAGAATGGATTCACCGCTTGCCTGCTGCACATTCTCCTCCTCCTCCTCCTCTTCCTCATCCACAAAATCCTCCTCCGTGTTGTGTGAGACTCCCCCCTTGCAAGTGTCCACGGACAGTGGTGGGGTAGTGGTAGGATCCCCCCGTAGAATGCCATGCAGCTGATCATAGAAGCAACATGTATGGGGCTCTGACCCAGAGTGACTGTTTGCCTCCTTTGTCTTTTGGTAGGTTTGCCTGAGCTCCTTGACTTTCACGTGGCACTGTTGTGTGTCCCTGTTGTAGCCTCTGTCCATCATGCCCTGTGCGATTTTGGCATATATATTAGCATTTCTTCTTTTTGATCGGAGTTCTGCCTGCACAGATTCTTCTCCCCATACAACAATCAGATCCAGTGTCTCCCATTCGCTCCATGCTGGAGCTTGCTTACGATTCTGTGAGGACTGCATGGTCACCTGTGCTGCTGAGCTCGCCACGCTGACCAAACAGGAAATGAAATTCAAAAGTTCCCGGGGCCTTTCCTGTGTATGTAGCTAGTGCATTGGAATTGAAAGTGCTGTCCAGAGCGGTCCCATTGGAGCACTCTGGGATAGCTCCCAGAGGCCAATAACGTTGATTTGCGTCTGCACTACCCCAAATTCGACCCAGCAAGGTCGATTGTAGCGCTACTCCCCTCGCTGGGGAGGAGTACAGCAATCAATTTTAAGAGCCTTTTAGGTCGACAGAATGGAGTTGCTTGTGTAGCTCTATATAAAATATATAAAATCGACCTAACGCAGCTAAATTCGACCTAACCCTGTAGTGTAGACCAGGGCTTGGATTATGTGAAAGGAATGTAAGGTTGTGTTGTCTGATTTTAAGTCACCTTTAAGATTACTTGACCCTGAGACTGCCCAGGTTCCTGCATAGTTTGGAGTGGCCTAAAGGTTGCTCTCAACACACATAGAATCATAGGACTCAAAGGGACCTTGAGAGGTCATCTAGTTCAGTGCCCTGCACTCAAGGCAGGACTAAGTATTATCTAGACTGGGGTGGGCAAACTTTTTGGCCCGAGGGCCACATCTGGGTATGGAAATTGTATGGCGGGCCATGAATGCTCACAAAATTGGGGGTTGAGATGTGGAGGGAGTGAGGGCTCTGGCTGGGGGTGCAAGCTCTGAGGTGGGGCCAGAAATGAGTTCAGGGTACGGGGGGGGCTCTGGGCTGGGGCAGGGGGTTGAGGTGCAGGTGGGGGAGTGAGGGCTCTGGCTGGGGGTGCGGGCTCTGGGGTGCAGGAGGGTGGGAGCGAGGGGTTTGGGTGGTGGGAGGGGGATCAGGGCTGGGGCAGAGGGTTGGGGCGCTGGAGGGTGTCAGGGGTGCAGGCTCGGGGCGGCACTTACCTCAAGCAGCTCCCAGAAGCAGCAGCATATCCCCCTCCGGCTCCTACATGGAGGCGTGGCTCTGCGCACAGCCCCATCCGCAGGCACCGCCCCTGCAGCTCCCTTTGGCCACGGTTGCTGGGCAATAGGAGCTGCAGGAGCAGCGCTTGAGGCAGGGGTACCGTGCAGAGCCCCCTGGCTGCTTCTGTGCATAGGAGCCAGAGAGGGGACATGCTGCTGCTTCTGGGAGCCGTGGGAAGCCACGGGACACGTGGAGCGGGCAAGCCCCGGAGCCCGCTCCCCAGCAGGAGTTTGAGGGCCAGATTAAAACGTCTGAAGGGCCAGATGCGGCCTCCAGGCCGTAGTTTGCCCACCCCTGATCTAGACCATCCCTGAGAGGTGTTTATCTAACCTGCTCTTAAAAATCTCCAATGATAGAGATTCCACAACCTCTCTGGGCAATTTCACTGACAACTCCTCCTAAAGGCTATTCTTACAACAGTGGAAAGCCAAAGCATAGTGGTGCTCTGGCTCTGCCCAGTTTTCTCTGGCTATGTCCTCTTTGTGGAGGGGAATGAGAGAGAGCTATACCACTGGAGGATTTACAATATGCTGTGGGAAATCCCAAGGTGGCCAGCTCCACTATATTTTGGGCTGCTTTGTTCCACTGGCATGTGGTAGAGCAGGGAAAATTGGGCCAAGTATCTTGCCCTCTCCTTGTCACACAGAAATGTTCATTACTCATGGTTTTAGGACTGTGACTTTTGTTACTATTTCTGATATCATCCATTTTTATTTCTCTCTATAAGACTTGGATTGGGAATCGAAGACGAAAATATCGTTTAATGGGGATTGAAGTCCCACCCCCTAGAGGAGGCCCTGCTGATTTCTGTGACCGTCCTGAATCTGTTGCTAAATCAGCACTTACTCCAGGAGAGGAAACTGCTACTGAAGTGGGAGATGATAATGATAGGAATGATGAAGTATCAATCTGCTTATCTGAAGGAAGTTCACAAGGTATTTGAAACTGCAATTGCACTGTTTTGTTAATTATATTTTGCAATTTGTGTGCTTTTCATCCCTCTCTGGTGTGGACATTCTGAAGTGTTTGAAACAGTTGCTTTTTTTACCTAGGAAATGAACAGCTTTCTGAAACTCAAACTAGTATTTTTAAAATTACAGTCATTTGGCATTGTCCTTGCCAAGGTGGCGGAGGCAAGTTTTTGAGCTATTATGTAGATTTATACAAACTGTAATAAGAGCACCCATTCAGCGCTCTGAGCACTCTTTAACAATTTATTTTCTAAAACACTAAAATAAGTAGACCTGTCAGTTCCTCTTGATCAGTGGTTCTCAACCTATTTACCATTGTGGGCCGCATATGCAGCTCTCTGTGTGTTATGTGGGCCACATCCACACAATATATATATACTACTTGTAGATCTAAAAAAAATAAAATAAGGTTTAGTATTTGTTAATGACAGCAGTATGATTCAAACTGATATAGTACCTTTCATTTCAACACTGGCAAATGTTTACCAAGAGCATTTTAAATTAGCAAAATAAGTCAAAACATTAACTGTTAAAATGAATTCATTTACTGTAAGCGTGGCATGGTATGGTGTATTGCCACCCTCCCTTCCTCGCTGTTGCTGGCAGCACAGCTGCGGAGCCTGCCTGCAAAGATGGCGCCCCCCCCCCCAGAGACCGCGCCCCTTCTCCAGTGCTGAGTGCCGACCGCCCCCCCGCTCCCCGGGCCTCTCCCCTCCTTCATCCAGTTCCCCACCCAGCCCCCTCAAGGACAGCCCCCCAGCACTGAACCTTCCCATTCAGGGACTGTGCCCTAGTATCTAGCCCCCCATCCAGGGACTGCCCCCAGCCAGCAGTCCCCAACCTAGAGTCTGTCCCCCATGCACCGGCTGCACCCCCCTGCATCCTCCTCTCTGTGCAGGCTGGTCTCCTACCTCAGCAGTAGCTCAGCTGCCCAGCCCGCCCTCCCCACCTGCCACTGTGGTCCTAGTGCTGGGGAGCCTACTCTAGCTGGGGGTCAATGGACCTGCAATCTTGCAGAGTCTGGGGGGCCTCCTGCCAATGCTGCTGGGCCCAATCCTGAGGGAGGGGGCTGACGCTGGGCCTAATCCTGCACTGCCCCATTTTTGCACTCCCCTCCTGCTGGCTCTGTGCCTGGGGCGGGTGCCGCTCCCGCTCCGCCCTAGTTACGGCCCTGAGAATGTCACATGGGCCACAGCTGTGTGCTCATTGGGCTGCAAGTAGGTTGAGAATACCTGCTCTAGATCAACTCAAATACACAATCATGTTGTTTAACTAGAGTTACAACACAACCAAAACAGGTCCTGTCCAAACATACCTACAGTAGTATTAAAGCCTCTTTAAACAGCCTGGTAACAATGCAGAGAATTAGGCAGTAAAGTCAGTAGCACTGGGCTGTTTAGAGGGCACCTAAAGAGTGTGTGTGTGTGTGTGTGTGTGTGTGTGTGAATTTGTTTTCCCACCCCTGCAATTTCATGAGTTTGAGTGTTAAATGGGAATTAGACGATCAACTCATTTGCTCTGTCTCACAGAATAGAATGACCAAACCCAGTCTTCTGTGCCACTTTTTTAAATTAAAACTCTGGGCCCTAAAGGAGATGAACTGTCACCTTTGCACGTTTCACTGGCTTCAAAAGTTGAACTAATTGCTCCCAGCGCTTCTGATTAGAAGTGATCAATAAACCCTGGGCTCGCTAAACTAAAAGGAAGTCTGTTTTAGTGCACACTGTTGCAGTTTTGTATGCCACATATGATCTTGTCAATTTGTTTGAATGTTATAGAGGAAAGAGTTAGAGACATTAAGAACTGTTGGGAACAAACTTGTGATGTCTTTGTCAAATTCAACTATAAATAGAATAAGATGATACAGAATTGGGTAGAACTGATTGAAATCCAAGGAAGATGCCAAAGTACGAGAATCCTTGACTTGCCTGAGGGAGAAGGAACTGGTCCAGTAGGATGTTTATTTAAAAGAAAAAAAGTGAATGTTATGCCATTTAAAGTGAAGGATGACTCAATATTTATTGAGCGAGGCCTTTTGAAGCTGAACACAGAGCTGTAAGGGATCCGGGCAAGGAGAATATGATTATAATAAAGCTTATGGAGCTATGGACAAACACAGGATTTCCTTAGTAACAAAAATGAGAGATTTTTATATTCAACATAAAGATTATTTTCCTACCAGCCACAAACCAGAAAGTAGTTCAAAATAGGTTAGGAGGCAGTAAAGAGAACCTTTATGGAAAATTAAAATGGATTCATTAAGAATAAGTAAACTATTTTATTAGACCCTCCCCAAGTCTGTGGAAAAGCTGTTGGACTAAATTGCAACTAAAACCTTAGTTATAGTAGTGGACTTTGACTCTGATCATCCTTAAAACTGGAATCTATTTGTATGCCAAAATGATTATTTCAGTTTTATTATTGGGTTGCAGACATTATTTCTTCTATTGGCACTGACTGTCACTTAGCTTTGAGTCTCCAGTCTGCTAAACCCATAATAAAGACTTTATGAGAGGAGAGAGAGAGGCTAATTATATCAATGAGGGTTTGAAAAAAGAGCTGACACTCCTGGAGAAGATAAGTAGTCCAGAATTACACACAGCAGCTGTTTTGTCAGAGCTGTGTAATCACCCTTTTAACTTCTTTGGAAAATACAACTATAGGTTCCAAAAGGACATTCAGAGAGTTGAAAAGAACTACTCCTGGGGGAATTCTGCACCAAAAAATTAAAAATTCTGCACACAATATTTTAATATTCTGCATATTTTATTTGTCAAAATAACACCATATAATCACACCAGTTTCAGTTATTTTTGGTCATTTATTTCAAAATACCCGTCAGCAAGTATGTCTATAACAATAGAGACAACGAAAAAGATTCAGGAAATGTTTTTTGACAAATAGATTCCTTACTAGGCATATTAATACAGAACTCCGAGTAATAATTCATTTAAACTACAATACAGAACTGTATTTCCTGCACTGCTCAGAAGCCGTGCAAAGGCTTGGTGGAGTCAGGGGTAACAGAGGAGCTGAGGGAGTGGGAAGTGTAATTGCTGGGAAGGAGCCTGGGTGTGAACTTGGGGTTGTTGGTTATGGGTGGGAAAAGTATGGAACAGATTTTTTTGGGGGGGGGGGGACAGGGAGGGTTTGTTAGGGAGCGTCCCCCATGCAGATCCTGGTTAACCCCTAGCCTTTCCGATTCAGTCAGGCACATCTGCCCCGTCTCTGTGTCCCTGCTCCCCCATGTGTCTTTGAACCCCCTGCCCAAATGTGTCCCTCCACTCCCATTCAGACAGCCACTCCCCGCATCCCCATGTGGCCCGGCACCCCCTCCCCCAATCCCCATGTGGCCCTGCACCTCCCTCACCCCTGTGCTGTGAAGAAGGCACTACAGGCTCTTTCTCTTCCTTAGCTAGCCAGGAGCGCTGGCTCTGTTCCAGCGCCACAGTGCCCTCTGGTAGGAAAAAGGCCAAACTGCATCAACTTTCAAACATAAGTTATTTTCTGCTGAGGCTGCTCTGGGCTAGCACCATAGCGCCCTCTAGTGGGCAAAAGGCAGAACTTCAATCTCTTTCTAGAGAAGCTATTTTCTGCCAAAAAAAATAATATATGCGTGGCACATGAATTATGCTCACGTGCAATGGTTCAAAATTCCCCCAGAAGTAAAAGAACTAACTAGGTAGGTGAAATAAGTGGAATGAAGCTGGTGAGGGCTGCTCCTCTTTAAAAGTAGCTGATGAAAAAACAAAAATCAAAACCATAACTTGATGCAAAATTAAGGGTATATACTTTATCAAAATCAGAAAATGGAAAATGTTAGGGTTCACTAGTAACATTAACTGGCACTTTTGTCCATACTATGTTAGTTATATCCACATTAGGTGTAAATTGGTGCAGCTCTGAGGTCAGTGAGCTGTGCCAATTTACACTAATTGAAGAACTGGTTCTTCATGCTGGAAATTTGGATTCACTGGTCAAACTAAGCAAATGGTGACTGTTGAGATTACAGGGCAAGCTACGCTTTAGAGCCTTTTTCAGTCCCCCCTCATGTGCACCCCTCTGGTGACAGCTTTTGCTTCCTTCACCCTTCTCTGGGTGGAACCATTTGGTCCTACCACCCTTAGACTAGATCTCTGGACTGCAGCCCAACTGTTTACCACCAGTGGTAAATTGACAGGCTCAACTGCTTTCAGCACCTGCAAGAACTTTCTCCAGAAGCCTGTGACAAGCAGGCGATTGAAATGACACAAAACAGCTTCATCAAAACAAAATATTAATGCTACATTGCAGTCAGAGAAGTGAGTTAAAACAACAAAAGTCTGTGAGCCAATTAAATATCCAACTGGTAAAACTGAGATACATATCCTATTCATATAAAATAATACAGATGTCTCCCTTGTTTTTCACAATGACCCTGGGGTAATTCAGGGCCCCAAAGGAGCTATGCGGCTTCCTGAACTGAAGCGGCTGCCTTGCACAGATTCATAGTTACTGTGAATGTATGTCTCTGCAATTAGAGCAGTATGAATTAACTGGGAATATAGGGATTGCCATGCAGGTACAAACCAAGGAGCCATCCAATCAGCTGTTCTGTTTAAAAATAGTCAAGCCAGATGCCACCAAGAAAGGCAAGAAATCCTGCTAATACACCTCGGTATACAATATAAAAACAGTTGGTAGGATTTCTTTCTGATATTGTGGAATTGCTGGAAATTGGCTTGTGCCCTGAAGTGTGATTGATTGATAACCTTTCTAATTTTGTTCTAAATATTACTGTTGCAGATGTTTGTTCTTGTTTTATATTAACGTCTAATCCTTTTCTGAAATATACTAAGCTATTTGCTTAATTAATAACCTGTGCAACTATCAAAGGCTAACTTATATGACCTATGTTTTTAACATACTGTGTTTGATGAAAGTGGCTTGGTATAATTACAAAGCTAGAAATTGTTCCTTCTCTTATAGATGACATTTCCTGTACTTGAATCTGTAGCTTTGCTTATGTAGTTTAATGAGTTAGGCTCTTTCCCCTTTTCTATAACATTATTTCCCAGCATTAAAACACATGTAGGCATACAGTCATTGCATTACAACATGAAACCTCAGATCAATATCTGTTGCAGTGGTTTCTCAGTCTGGAATCCGTGGATCGCTGCATTGTTGAAAACTACCAGGTAGTTGGAAGAGATTCTTTAATCACATTGCTGAAGCAACTGTCAGTCTTCATTCAGTGGCCCTTCCTGTTAGTGATAGCCTTGGCCAGGATTCTCTTTGAATTTCCGGAGATACTGGGACCAAGCCCTGGTCTACACTAAGAAATTAGGTTGGTATAACTACTTTGCTCAGGGATGTGAAAAATCCACACCCATGAGCGATGCATTAAACCAGCCTAACTCTGGGTGTAGGCAGCGCTGGGTTGACAGGAGAATCGCCCATCGACCTAGTTACCGCCTCTCAGGGGGGTGGATTACCTACGCCGACAGGAGAACCCCTCCCATCAGCATAGGTAACATCTTCATTGAAGTGCTGCTGCAACATACTAAGTGTCGACAAGCCCCAACTAAACAAAACAAAGAAGTGCCATTTAATGTCTTTTTCAAGAGATTCTTTGATGTAAATTCAACCAGGATTAGATTTGTAGATGATGTTAAAATTGGAAAGATATCAAAAGTGTAGGAGGACAGAATCAAACTGCAGAATGTTTTAGGGTATGTCTACACTTAACCCGCTGCAGTGGCACATGGGTTCTGCCATTGGCATAGGTAATCCAAGACATGGTAGCTAGGTTGATGGAAAAATTCTTCTGTTGACCTAGCACTGTCTACACTGGGGGTTAGGTCGGCATAGCTATGTCTCTCCGGGGTGTGGATTTTTCACACTTCTGAGAGATGTAACTCTGCCCATATAAATTCCCAGTGTTAGATTAGAACAATGGGGACCTTTGGCAAAAAAAAAAAAAAGGGGGGGGGGCGCGGGGAGATTCTGTACTCCTTGTGTGAGGGAAACCCTGTGGAGAGGAAATAAATAGCATAGGTCAAAAACGAGATTAAGTAAATAAATGAGAGTATTGTCACTGATTTCAGTATGGCCAAATCCTGATCCCACTGTATTGTTTTTTTCAGTTTTCAGGATTAATTTCAGGGCAGGTCTACACTACAAACTTGCAGTGGCGCAGCTGCACTGCTGTAGTGCTTCTGGTGAAGACATTCTAAGGTGACAGGAGAGAGCCTTCCCATCAGCTTAATATCTCCACCTCCGTGAGAGGCAGTAGCTATGTTGGTGGGAGAAGCTCTTCCACTGACATAACGCTTTCTACACCACTGCTTAGGTTGGTATAACTACATTGCTCAGGGGTGTGGATTATTCACACCCCTGAGCGATGTAGTTATACCGAAATAATTTTGTAGTGTAGACCAGGGCTTAGTGGTTCCAGTGCACCAATATGGGGGTGTATGCATGCATGTGAGTGAGATACACAGACAGACAAACCCACACATATATGTACCCTAATCTTTTAGGCTGGGATTTTAGGAAGTTTGACACCCAACTCCTGTTGAAATTCAGTGGGTGTTGGGTGCCAGACTCCCTTAAGCTCCTTTCAAAACCCAAGCCTGAAGCTATAAGCAGTGAGAAATTGGTGTATAATGTAGGAGAGTAACTGACAAGAATAATGTCTGTCTGTCTTAGGCAGTGATTGGTATAAATGTGATTTGAAATGTTTGTGTCAAACATTAATTATATGCAATCTTCTTAATTACAAATAAACTTTGGCTTAGAAGTCAAAGAAGACATCACCACATAAATATATCTTAAAGGAATTCCATAAAAAGGGCATTAGGGTACTAAAGCTAGAACTCCGAGGAAGATATAATAGCTCATTTATTTCTGCAGAAGAAACCAGTGAAGTTATTCAAAATGAAGAAATTGGTCACAAAGAAGAGGACCAAAATACATTATCTGCAGATAATGTGGTATGTACACTTTCCATATCCTACCAATTAGACCTTCTTAATTATTACTGTATAAACTGTCTTCCAAAGGCAGTATTTCTAAGTTAGTGAAGATTTCAGCGTCATGTCCTGTTAAAAAGAACCCTGTTTTATAACTTGAATACTAAAAATAAGCAGTTATTGATAGAATTGTGCATATTCAATCAAAAAATTAAAAATATTTTCCATATAATTTAATGAGTAGAAATCTTGTGTTTTAGGAGGCTATTTAGTGTAACTGCATTGCTACATTCTAGTCTTTCTCATCTCCGAAGTCCTGAGTAATTCTTCCACTCTACTCAGCTCTGGAACATTGTCACTTCAGTCGAGTTATGCTCTGTGTATAGGGACATGTGGAAGTGCTGAAACAGTGTTTTGTCCTGCTTAGTTCTGGTGTACTAGCTAGGCCTGAAACAATTAAATTCAGGTTGAATGGTTAAGCCCTGAGCCAGCAAGGAACTTCTGTGTGGTTGCAGAGGTGCCATACGGAGCTCCTCCCAGTACTGATGCCTTATTTGGTTACAGCTAGCCTGAGATGTTCTGTGAACCTCAGAGACCAGATGCCCCAGCGTCCTCGGTACATGCCTCACTATAATGTGTTTAATAATTTTGTGTCTTGGAAAGCCCAGTGTACTGCATGACAATATAGGGACAAATTCACCATTGAGTAATTAGGTACAACTCCATTGACTACACTGAGGTAGCCTTACTTCTGCTGTTGATGAATTTGGTTCATATACTTTTACTATCAATTTATTTTTAATTCTGTCAAGTAGTAAGATTTTTGTCTGAGTGTTTTTACTTAATTCTGTGAAAAATTGGGGGTTTTACACTTTTCAAACATAGATCTAATTAAGAATGTAAAAGGCCAGTGTTAATCCTGTGTTAAACATAAATTCTTTCAATCACAATACAGTATTGCTACCATATTTCATGTTGAAAAATGTTTATTTTGACAGTATTTAGCACTTATGTGGTATTTTCCAATGTGTTATATTTTTGAGAAAAAACTCAGTGAGGTGAGAAGAATGATATTGAAAGTGTGTTATGACAGAACAAAGCATGTCACGTTTATAGGTTTTTACAGTGCCCATGAGGTAGTTTTTATTTTTATTCATATTTAAATTAGATTTCCAGCAGATGGAATGAATATAAATCAGTTTGTGATAGGAGGCTGGCATTCTTGCCAATAAATCAAGGAGATAAACTGCAAACTGAAATTACTGAATCTGTATATTTCTCGGCTTTTGAAGGTGGTGCGATCAGTGAGGAAGATAATGGTGTAGGGCAGGCTTTTATTCTACTGTTTCAATCAGTATTTAATCTCTGTGAGCTAAGGTATAATAAATTTAACCAATTTTATTGCTGTTTAATAGAACAGTGTTTAAATTAGATCATTTTCAAATGATTAGGGTATAAAAATAAACACATAAAAAGGGCAGTAGGTTATAGAATTTAGGGAAAATGTGTTAATTTTTATGGTAAAATTTAAATACCTTAGAATCAGTGATATGTGAGATCTCCATAGTTAAGTCACAATTAGGGTGACCAGACAGCAAGTGTGAAAAATCGGGACAGGGGCTGGGGGGTAATAGGAGCCTATATAAGAGAGAGACCCAAAAATCGGGACTGTCCCTATAAAATCGGGACATCTGGTCACCCTAGTCACAATTGAGTTTCTGTCATAAACTGGATTTTAGCTTTCCTGCTCCTCCCCAAATCTGAATTCCACAAACCAAGGAATATTGGCTTCAGGATTGATGGTTGGAGCTCAGATAGTTATCAGGATCTGTTGGGGGGCGGAGGGGGGGAATTAAGTCAGCCAGCCCCCTGATGAACCAATAGAGGCTCCTCAGAAGGCTGAAGATCCAATGTAGGCTCATCGGACAACAAGTTTAGCTTGTTAGAACCTGAACCTGTCTCCTGAGATTTGTTGTGGGAGGAGTTGGTTGGCCCCGAAGAACATGCCAGTACCTGCAGTAGATGTTAGAGGGCCCCAGCAAGCCCCCAAATGCTTATGGGAGGTGGAGCATTGGAAGGGACTGCTATGATCAGGCCTGGAGTTCTTCTAATGCAGACTTCTGCAGGAAATAAAGGGGGAATCCCCCTATTTGCTATCCCCTCAAAATCTCCTTACTGTCCTCATGTCCCCTTTATACCTTCACTGGAAACATCATATGGTGTCCAGGAAGGAATCCCTTCACCTACACACCTCCGTCTGCCCACAAGTTGGACTCTACCCATAAATCACTTATATGTACTCTCAACCTGTCTTTACCTTAACAGAGGTTTATTGTCTTAGAATGTTTACAAAAGGAGGATGTTCTTCCTCTTGGATGATGACCCTTCTCTTAGTCTCCATACGTCTAGACTCAGAGTTTCAACAGGTGGAGACAAATGTATTTTTCGTTCACAATATATAATTGAACTCCCTAATTTCCTACCACTAATTTCTCTGTTTCTAATGGTGCTGGAAGAGGGAGAAGAGGCATAGGAAATTTGAGTCCCATCCCTGTCAGATCATTTTACTCAAAAAAGACTGGGTCAATTCCTGGAGCTATCACAATATTGTTGCCAAAGTCCTAAAACAGACTAGACGAGGAACCATTTTTTAAAAAAGAGAGATTTTACTATAGAAGGGCAAGAATTAAACCAGGCAAGACTTGCCAGTAGGAAATCCCTTGGTTTGCAGTCATTCATCATAGTGTCTGTCTTGCCTTCTGATTCTAGAGGAATAAACATTCCACATGGCTGGTATGACATCTCCCACAAAGAGTCTGTGGAAGAAATAAATTTTCCCCCAAGGCCACCTGTGCAGGCTGCAAGGAGAATGCAGTATGCAATTTAATCAACACAAATATGGCAGCAGCTAGCTCCTCCACAGTAAACAAAGTGAGTCACCATGGCAACATTGTCCTAACTTTGAGTGTACACTGCCTCAGGTAGCTTCCTCCCTGGAGCTTTGCATATGAACAGAGTGCATGATCGCCATCTAATGGGTGCTCAGAAATTCAAAATAATTTGTAAATAGGCAAAAGAAATACACTTAGGACTCTTCCTTCCATTATAATTTGAGAGGTGCAATTATTGTTTCTTAGGTCTAATAGTAGAGTAACGTAGAGACTTCTATTAGTAAGCTAGAAATTCAAGAATTTAGTTTTCTGAATGAAATACCTTTCACTTCTGTTTCAGAAAATTGAAATTATAGATGATGAAGAAAGTGATATGATTAGTAATTCCGAAGTGGATCAGATGAGCTCTCTTTTGGATTATAAGGTAAGTGATTGAGATCTTGTAATGCTGAGAGAGACGTTCCCTTTACACAGAAAGCTCAAACAGGTTTTTTGCAAGGAGGAGCATGGAAGGGTGGAATTCACCCCAACCACAAGAAGGCCTCTGTTCCAGCATTCAGGCTGTGATAGTAGCTCGATCATCTATTTGTGGGTTCTTAGCCACTGGATCCTTGTTTCTGCAAAATGAAAGGAATACAGAAAGAAACAGCAGCATCAGTCCTTCATAGCAGCTAAATTACTATGATTCTAGCAGCTTCCAGTGGGTGTCTCACACCAAGGCAATTTATTTAGCATTTAAAACACACCATCTTTTTCATTTATCTTTTTAAGAGAAATCTGCGTTTTCATCAAATACAAACTTTCTTTGTGCTAGGAGTCTGTTCTTTTGGGCTTTATTTTAAATATATAGCCTAATACTGCCAGAATTGGGAGGCAACAAAGCAGCTAGAGTCCTCTAATAAAGCAGGCAGGTCCGAGAAAGCAATGGCTTTAATAATGTAGACCACAGTATAACAACATTGCTGCCCATTCTGGTTATAAAATGACTATATAGAGTTGTCTTTGAAATAGGAACATGAAAAAAATGCTGGATACCCTGACATTGAGGATCTTCTGCCAAAATTGTAAAGGTTATATGTTTGTTATATGGCTTCATTTTATGCTTTGTGTTTTCTGTGTGAAACTGACAAATTTGTAACTTCCTTGTTTGTAAAATATACAGATTTTATTAGAATAGAACCTGTTTCTAAAACAATAAATTATTTTAAAAAGTAAAACAGACTATACCCTTTGGGGCACAAAAATGAATCCTCTGGGCAGTGTGTTCCGGGTAAGGGCAATGCAGGATGAATATGGATGGCGAATGACCTTTTCTTAATGTCACTTGTCACTGAACTGAATGGCTTGTTGTGACAGCATGCCCTACAGAATCTTGTTTGTTTTTATTACGTTTTGACATAAACTATTAGTCTTCATGGTCACATGTTTGCTGCATAAATATGCATGCTAGCTTTTACTGGACCAAAGCCCTGAGTAAATAGCTGACTGGCAAGCTTTCATCAGTAACAAATCCCAGTAAGCTGATTTTCCTACCAAAAGAGAATATTTTCTTTAAGCTACTATATTAAATGTATTGTTAGGACCAACTCTTTGGCAAGCCTCTAAAAGTCAGCTCACAATGTTTGTCAGTTGCATTAGGGCTTGCATAATGGCAAATGCATGTTTAACTGTCCATTTTGTTCATGGAAAATGTGTTTTGTACACAAAAATAGCTACATCAACCACGATTGGGTCTGCTGAAAATTCATCCCTGCTTGTTAGGCATAGACGGGAAATTGGTTATCACTTAAGCTTAACTGAAATACAAGTTTTATTAATGTGAAATGATAGCCAGTCTGTAACAAATCTGTACACAAAACTTTCATGTCCAGAACATACTGTTAAGTCTCACAGGTTTTTAAAATAATACAATAAAATAAATGAATGCCTATTCTGCAGAACTTTTTTGCACACTCTTTTGGCAAAGTTTTCAGATGCCTTTTAACTAGACTTCTAAATTTGCACATGCAATCATTTGTTACCATGAAAACCTGAAAGTTTCTGTAGGAATTGGTTTATATGCATCATTGCAGGCCCAAATGATCATGTGAACAGATGTGTGGACCTAATTTTAAATGATTTTGAAATTTGGCTTTTTATATTGAATAATAAAGGGAAAAATAAAATCGTGCTAACACAATTTCCTTAATTTCTTGCTGTTAGAATAGTTGTACTTTATAATTTGTTCATCATAAGTTATGCACAGGAGGAATGTACAAAACAGCTACAAATTCTGGTATCTGTAGCAAACTACAATTCCACATCTCAAATCTGCAAACATGCACATTTATACATTCACAGAAGATGATTTTTCAAATTAATTTACAGTTTGAGCCAAATAACTAGGATATGCCTTCAAAAATTATTAGATCAAAAAGAGCCACTTTGAGTTCTGATTTGCATTTTATCCGTCCAATAAGAAAAACACAATCATGTCTGGTTGTTGAAATATATAGTGTATGCAGTTTACCTACACTCCTTTAATTTAGGAAGGCTTAAATGTTTTTCAAAGAAAAGAACATGTAATGTTAACTGAAATAATAATGTTTTGCTGTGTTTATTTTAATGGAATGTTAAGTCCAGTGTTTGTTGAAAGAATTACTTTGTAACATCACTATTATGGCACTAGCATTCAAGCTTCCTAGTGCTAATTATTAATTCTTTATTTCTAGGTGCTCTATATTGTGAAGTTTTATACATATTTCTCCCAGGAGTTTAATGAACAGCATAACCGTGAAAGCACTTTGTGTGTATGTGTGGAGTATTATTAACTTTGCATTCAGAAATTCTTATCTAGGCAATGAATAAATGTAGGAAGAGAAAAACATGGTTGCAAAATAATTTGATGTTCTCAGTTCAGTTTCTAGCAGACGTGAATCTATATCCCAAAAACTGTCAGCTTTGGGTTGCAATCTCTTGGGAGTCACAGCAAAAAGAAAATGCTAAATTGGCATGGAGACCAAATTCCCCTCTCATCCCTAAAACTGAGTCTTCCAGAACAGAATTGAGGCACATGTGGCAAGGAGGGCTGAAGACTATGTATGGGAGAAATCTTGCACTGGCTGTAGTTTGTGCATATTGCTATCTGTTGTTATCCTGTGGAAAACTGGTGTTCAGCGCCATTATTTGGACACCTTTTGCAGACACACCATTTTCTTAATCTTGAAAATCTAAACCGAACACAGGTAGTTAACTACATATAATCTTCACATAACCTGATCTTTGCAAAGGGAAATACCTAGGGGAAATTATATTTTTATGTTCAAGAAGTTAACTTAGAATATATACAGTGCAGTAAGTCTAGTAAAGTGTATGTGGGAATTAGCTGAAGTACTTACTGAACCTGAAGTTAAATCTGAACTTTTGATTTAAGAGATTTGCCATCTAGATATGAAACTTGTGCTTTGTAAATCCAATAATATTTGTTGTTCATTGTTTATAGAATGGCTGAGAAATGGCTGGCTGAAGCCCTCTTGTTTATCTACCGTGTTGGCACTGTCAATACTTCCCCACACTCCCTTACCAGCATGCCACAAATCTGACATGAAGGGACCATCTTGAGAGAAAGAGACTAGTACACTGCTGTTTTGTTGAGCCTGTTAATGAGGATGTCAGTTGTGGTGGTTTTTCTTTTCTATTTGGGTATTTATAGTGTGCCTGTCACTGTGGTATCTGAGGTGATGTGGATAGTGGAAACTGGGAATGAGAAACCACCAGCTCATTTCATATAGGCTATTTTAAGCAATCAGATGATGAAAATTTCCAGCCACTACTTTCCTAGGTTGGATTTCACTTATCCAAGGAATAGCTATTGGAGGCATGGAAAGGGGAGTTAAATGTGCAAAGAATCATTGGCATCACCTGTATCGGCATTGGTGGCAATAGATCGACTGTGGAATGATTTGGCAATTATGAGCAGGTCCCTTCCAATGATGGGCTAGGTTATTGGTTAGGGATGAGTACTCTTTGGCTTTTGAATTAGGTAGGTTGGTGTCTCTTAACTAGTGCAGAAGCAGATAAAGAAGAGGTTTTTCTTGGGTAGGAGTCAGGGTTGGTAGGGAAAAACAGTTTATAGACTCCTCTCTAATACTGTCTCTGTACAGTGAGAGACAAGGTGGATGAAGTAATATCTGTGATTGGACTAATAAATACCTCACCCACATATCCTGTGATCACATCTACGATACTATCCCCAAACTATGGGCAGGCAAACAATGGCGGAAGAGAGGCAGGCTTCAAGACCTCCACTCTGTGTAGCACCAGTTTGATCCCAGCTCTTCTCCTTGTACTCTACTGGAGCAGCTGGTGGATTGGTGCCAGGAGCAGCAATAGTGGATCCAACTTGTGGCTCAGTAGCTGTCTGAATGAGCAGTGTCTGGCTCAGACCCAACCTCAGAAAGTTAAGAAGCAGACAAGCTTTAGTATTTTGGCCGGGCCTTTGAAAAAATTTCCTTCCCATTCTCCAAACAAAACAGATTACCTTGAATGCATCACTATTTACATGGCTGACCTTAAGATTTTGAGGAAGGTTATTGAGGTGATCCTTTGGTGTACAAACTTAGCTGACTCCACATAACATATGTGTTTCTGGGTGCCATGGAATTAGGGAATTTTAGGGATTTTTCCCTCACCTCTTTCCATTTCAAGCTTCCTGCGGCAATAGTGGCGCCTCGCTGCTGTCTGTCTCACACAGTTGGTTTACATTTTCAAGAGTATCTTTGCTAGGGAGAGAGGTAGAAACTTCCTTTAAGGTGATAGGTGAGATTCTCCTCTATGGGACCAAAAGACAGTGCTTATTAAAAGTGCTCTAGAGGTGTACAATAATTCCCCTGAATGCTTTGTCTGTAGTGTGATTGCTATTATGCATGGAGTTAATATGCAAAATGACTCCTCTTCCTGGAGGTCTTCGTGCCTTGAACATCGTCGATTGCATATGCCAAATAAATAAATGGAGTTTATATAGGATCAGAAGAAATGGTTTGGTCTATGCATTTACTAGGCATTATAGGCCTAGTATGACATCACTCACAGCCAGTTAGAATGCCCCAATTGTGTGAATTTCTAAAGCCTCATAAAAAATGCCTTGTTCTGTCTTAGTGCCTAATTATCAAACCAAAGTAATAAGGTCAGACAATGCTAACCCTGAGGAATTTTTCCATGATGATACTTTCACAGGGAATCTTTATTCTCTAGAATTATTTGATTTTACCCTATTTTACTTTTATCATAACAATAAGAAACTCACTGTTATTCCCTTTTATTTGAATATAGGTACATTTGATGTCATAACTTTATCCAATACTAATTCTTATTTGGAGAATTATATCTATTTTTTCCCCTCAGAATGAAGAAGTTAGGTTCATTGAAAATGAATTGGAGACTCACAAACAGAAATATTTTGAACTACAGACATTCACGAGGAGCTTGATACTTGCTATCAAATCAGATGATAAAGAACAGCAGCAGGTAGGTCTAAGAAGTAGGCAGCAACTATGTCAGACTTTTTTTTTTTTTCTTTGTCTTTTGTCATTTTCTGACTTATTTATATTATGGTAGTGCTTACAGGCCCCAACTCAGATTGGGGCCCTATGGTGATAGACACTGTATGAACACACAGGGTATGTCTACACTGCAATTAAACACTCGTGGGACTCTGTGAGGGGGAGGGTCCCACAGCCCGGGCTCCAACCTGAACCCAAATGTCTACCCTGCAATTTTACAGCCTCACGACCTGAGCCAACCTCGGGTGTTTAATTGCAGTGTGGACATCCCCACAGTAAGACTGTTCCTGCCCCTGAGATCTTGCAGTCTAAACAGACAATACAGGCAAAGGATAAGAGAGTGAAAGTATGATCTTCATTTTCCAGTGAGGGAACAGAGGCCCAGACCAATAAGTGACTTGCCCAAGGTTACATGAGAAGTCTGTGGCAGAGCCAGGAATAAAAACCAGATCTCCTCAATTCCTGCCAGTGCCTTAACTACTCTCTTTAGTCTTAGTTTGCTCTGAGGAATCATTATTTTTGTACCGTGTCAAGTAGCTTTCGGAAGGCCAGATCTTCAGCTGATGTAAGCTGGTGTGGTCTCCAAGGATGTCAATGCAGACATATACCCGCTGAGGATCTGGTATTCTGTGGTAATGCATAATGTGATGCCAGTAAGATAGTGGGGTTTCTTCTAGTCATTCATAAAAACATTACCATTTTCCTCCTCAGTTTGTTAGGTGGAACTATGGCCCCAATCTAGCAAAACATTTTAATACATTACTTCACTTTAAGCACATGCTGTGATACTTTGTTGGATCAGGGCTTATGTGCACAGGTTGAATAGTGATTGAGGAGTGTGTGTATGCTTGTTCAGCTTTCCAGTCACAAACTGTAAGTTGTGGGGATTGTCCACGTACAGTAAATGAATACTGCTGTACAAAAAATATCAAATCTCCAATATCTCTTCTTGTTACATATTTTTTGATGTTAAAAAATAGTGCAACATTTTGAAGCTAAATTTATACATTCTAATAATCACTTCTTTTAAAGTAATAATGCTCCTTGTTTATTACAGTATTTAATTTAAGGAATGAGCACAGCTGACAATGTACAATAAAGCTTAATTTGGAGTCCTGGAGATGTCACAAACTATGAAACTGAAACGTCAATTACAGCAAACTACTAATGACGTTGTACATACGGCCCAGTCCCATATCGCTTACTCACATGATGTAGGATCAGATCCGTAGAGATGGTCTTATATATTCCATTTTTTATATATTCATTATACTGTAGTAATTAATTGTCCTACTTGAACATTTTAAATCTTGGGGTAATTTTGCATTAAAATAATCATATTTTTCAAATGAATTTTATACTAGAAATAACATTGGACATTTCTGCTTTTGAAGTCAGTGCAATTCAGTACAGCTCCTTTCAGAAGGATGCAAAAATCTGGATGCATATTAAAAGAGAATTATGTACACGTTTTAAATCTGTTACCCTTATATTTACATTTGTGTCAAACTTACAATCAGAAAAAGGAATCAACCTACCTGCCTTCTGGAAATTAAAGATATGGAGTAAAATTTTCATAAGAGCTTAAGTCCAATTGAATTTCAAGTGTCAGCCTCTTTTGAGATTGGGACTTCAGCTTCTAGGTTATTGTGGATGCAGATTTAAATTAACTAATGTAAGTAATATTTGAGTTTTAAGATTACATGGTTTTCATATCACTTTATATTTCTAGTAGAATTTTCATAAGATCTGAAGTGATTTAGGAGCTTAAGTCCTATTCTCAAAAGAGGCTGACACTTGAACTTCAATTGGACTTAAGCTCCTAAATCACTTCAGATATAAAGTGATATGAAAACCATGTAATCTTAAAACTCAAATATTACTTACATTAGTTAATTTAAATCTGCATCCACAGTAACCTAGAAGTTGATTAGGAGTAAGTGGTCTTAAAAATGATCTTATAAACAGAATATGCTTTGCAAAAAACAATGACTAAAGTAAAATGTAAATCCTAAAATATTATCTTTTTATTTTCATTTCCCACTTGATTTCCCATTTGTGAAATGTGCCAGATTGGCAATTCTGGTAACTGATATGAGTTTACTCACAAAACAGGAATAGCACTGGCAGCAGCAGGGCAAGTTTCCTCTCTATCGCTCTGCAAATGTGTGTCTGCCTTGTTCAGGAGGAATCATCTCTACATGCTGATTTAATGTTGGCTTTTCTACAGAGACTGCCAGTAAGGATGCAAGTATCAGTTATCAAGATGATACCCATTCACTAGGGACTAGAATGAGGCCACCAATTTATTACATGTAAAAACAGCAAGCAGTTGTCAGTTGGCGATGACAGGTAATCATTACCATTCAAGGATGGATTTGAGCCAGTTATCTACAAAGGCTTCATAACCTATAACCTATTACCTACATCTGGAGCTATCAAGGCACCAAGAAAATACCTGTCTGCAAATCTTTAGACTGTAAGCCCTCCAAGGCAGGGATTGTCTCTTCTGTGTTCGTATAGATCCCAGCACAATGGGGCCCCAATCCCAACTGGTGCTATTTTAATATAAATATTGACAATAAAAATAAGTACTCCAAATTTAAACAGTAAGTTCAGACATTTATCTTACATAAGCCAACTGTCAGTATTTCTTAAAAAATTATAGTTTCTGCTTTTGACGCACCTATAAATCAATAGTGCAGAGCCAAGCTATTCATTTGTTACAGCATATAAACCATAGAACAGATCTAATTTCATGAAAACATTCTGGAATCCTTCAATATATGTAGTTTCTTTTTCTTTGTGGGCAAAGGGTATGGTTTGTAGTATTTCTTGTAACTGAAACAATTAGCAAGTCTGCATATATATTGTAAAATATAATCATCCTAAAAATGTCTTTATTCAGGAAAAAAATGTAGTGGCTAAACTTCTTTAGTTTGTCCTTGAATGTATTCACTCTAAGGTACAAAGAAAATCTAAAATAAATATATATCATACAAACTAGAAAAGTGTAACTGTTAATGGAAGAACTACAATAGAAAAGATATCACTGTGATGAACAGACACTGCAGGAGTAGAAAGGAGTCACTTGCCAGTATATTAAGGCATTTTTCTTGTGTCCCAAGAAGAAAAGATTAAATTATTAATTTCCCTCTTCAACTACTGATGGTGGGAGGTTCACCGTTGGATAGTCTCCTCCGTATGCATCTCAGGATACGGTAGTTTCTATTTTGAAATATGGTAATTTGCCATCACTACTTATGTCTTCATTTTATAGCTGAGATATCACTGTTTTCCTCTGTGCTTGCAAGCAGTAAACTTGTTATCTGGCAATAGTACAGTGGTTACATCATTTTTGGATAGCATTCTGTTTCTTCTTTAGTATTGGGAATTTCACCATTATCAGTGAAAAAATCATAAAAACTGATCCTTTACTATACAAAGTACTTAATGAGTTAACATGAAATTTGAAAAATGTGTCCAAATACTAATTTAAAATTTTTTTTTTTAACATAGGCACTGCTGTCAGATTTACCTCCTGAATTAGAAGAGATGGATTTCAATCACGCATCTCCAGAGCCTGATGATACCTCATTCAGCTTGTCGTCTTTATCAGAGAAAAATGCCTCGGACAGTTTGTGATCTTTGGAGAAAAATAATATATATACGCACACACAATGCTTAGACTGCCTAACAGGTGTGCATTTCAAGATAACTGCATTTTGTTACCTGATATCATTCAGTCAACAAAAACCTTGGTAAACTAGGCAGACCTTGCTGAAGGGTGAATGTGATGTGATATGACTGCAACTTGCGGTGACAAGGAATATGGAACTTTGTTTTTGGCAAGTGAGAAAGCTACATGGGAAAAAGTTTTAGTTTTTAGCATCACAGCCTCGATTAGGGTCATTTATAATTTTCCAAAATAATTCTTGCTTTGTAGCAAAATTTATTCTGAGCAGGGATCCAAGAATGGAAAATAAATGTGCAGTTACACAGCCAGGTAACATTTCAACTTTGCTTATCATGTAAGACTCACCAGTCCTGTTTATTGTGACCATCGCCTTTTCCCTTGCTCCTTCTTACTCAGGTAGATGGACTGAAAATTGGGAATCCAGATGGAAAAATGAGCTTGTTATAGGCAAATGGGCAGAGTTGTTCTTGGACCCCTGAAAAAATCTGAATTAAAAGATTACACTAAGGTGCTTATTGGTATATAAGTGCAAATTGTTGAGTCTCCCATTATCTCATAAAAATGTCTGAAAAACACTTGGAAGACGAAGTGAATAAATTTAATTGGCTTCAATAAATTACTAATGTACAGAAGCAGATCTAAATGTTGTAAACCATTAGGCTTTTACTGGAAACTCTTGATTGCTGGAGAAGGCAACTGTTTCTGGTATTATTACTACAGTGATGGGATTAGATAATGTTACACCAATATTTAGAGTTTTACCGTCATAGTGATTTTTTTATTTCACTTCATTTTATAAAACCTGAACAGTAAAGGCTCTGGTTCATGAAGATTCAGGAATCCGCTACATAGATTTTCTACAAACCATACTCCATTTCATTGCAACAGTGCTGTCAGCCAAGGACAGTCTTCATCCCGTCTCCCTCCGAAGCTGTTTTAGTGTTGGAATCTGGGCCCCACAAATTTCCTCAGTGTGATTCAATGACTAATTAGCCCAATTTAACACATTGTGTCATTCCGCCAGCAGACTCCAGGTGCTGACAAAGAATAAATTTAGCTGAAGTTTTTAAACTGCATGCCTGATAGCTTTAGCCACTCTCTGCTAACTTATCCTTTCTCAGCGCTCATTCATACTAAATCTCACATCTCGTTTGAATAAATACATTCACCCTGACAGATTCAAATAAGTTCAGGATGGTACATAGTATTGTGGCATACAGCTAGAACTTGGTCATTTCTAGTCTGAGTATTTACAAACCGGCCTCACTAAACCTTAGGTCACACCAGCTTGAGAGCTAAATTCTTTCACCCTTATGCTGAATGGTACCTTATTCTGTGAGTAGTGCCACTGAGACTGTTTACTGTATAATGGGAGTAAGGTTTGAACAATCTGGTCTTTCTAAATAAAAACAGTCTTAAGTGTCCAAAAAGAGGAAAATCCATGCAGAGTTTGCACCCTCTGTCCATCTTCTCTCTTAAACTGAATTCCTGTTCCCAGGTGTTAAAGAAACTGCTGTCAGCACTTTTTCTGAGGGACAAATGTATTCTATCATAAATATGGTGTTAATGTATTAACTTCGTTCCAGCCCTAAATCTGACAGTCATTTCAACCCCGTACTGTGAGAAACGATCACTGTACTGTATTTAAATATATTATACATTTAATTTACATTACTATACACCCTAAGATAATAGGCGTGATTTATTATAGGTTTTCTGCTCTGGGTTATTAACTGTACTATCTCTAGATAGGAAGATCCTGCAACTGACAATAAAACCTCATGTTTTCAGTAAGCTTTATTGAAGAAATTTAAAATGTGGTGTCTAGCCCTCATGCTCCACAACTTGGACCTTAATTCCGTTACTTCTCCTTGACATAGGATGGCAAAAGGCAGCATCTTCTTAAAGCTAATTCTTAATTTTGTGGTCTATGAATCTTTTTGCAATTTTACCTTTTACACTAGTAGCCAAGAAGAATTTTATCACTGCCATTAGTAATTTTGTATTGTTCTGACTTGCTTTTTTCCTGACATGACATCAAACTAAATCAGGAAGTTCAGATTGGATGAACTGTGCCAAAAACAGACCTTTACTCAGTAAACTAGAATCCTGGTTCATGATATACACCTAAAATCCTAGGCTCCACACTCCTTGTCTAGAATCTGTACTGAGTGTTTCCCTTTGAGCAAAATATGCTTTGACTCTTTCTTCAATATAGGATAACAGAGCATTTATAATAAAATAGTCATGCTGTCACATCCAGAAACGATCAGCAGCAACGTAGGATGATCAAGAAGAAATATTGAATATGAAGTATGTTCCTATGTAATAAGATGCTCTATAGAGCTGTATTGTACAGTTGTTTGAGTACCTCCATGCTTCTCCTCTAAATAACCTTCATCCATAATACCTGCAACATGAAAAAACAAAACAAAAAACTCCTAATGGTGAGTTATTACCAGTGCTAGTTAAAAATATTGAGGAAATATAGATTTACAGGACAGAGGCTGCAGAACAGCAGACTTGCTCTTCTACTGCACAGTATGGTAAAAACTTGGAAGAATAATTATCTTTGAAAATCATGAATGGCCATTTCTGAATATTGCATTCCAGCCATTCTCTGTCACCACACGTCTCATGGCTTCATGATTTGATGTTCTGTTCTCCAGAAAGACAGCTAGATATAATAATTAAGATCACAGGGTCAGATCAGTAAACATGACATCAACAAGTCCCCCTATGTCTCTGTCCAATTCATTTGCTGCCCCCTTTCTCTTGTTTAGGCATCTGGTTGGGGAGCAGTGCTGGTCTAGGAAGGTGCACACACACTTCATATTAAATGTTTGTGGATGGTAAGAGTGGAAGGTGCTTCTGCAGTTCTACGATCAAACACAGGGCTATGGTCTTGGCTAAATTCAGTCCTGACCTCAATGGGTGCATCTTCTATTGACTTAAAATAATAGGGAATTGTGACCATGGAAGATAGGGCAGAATTTGGTCCTATGACCTCATATTGTCCATCCATACTTCCAGCTAAATTTGTCATGATAGCTGGCTGATATGTGTCTAATGCCCAGAAGAGAACACCTTGATGTTTGTCTCCTGAATGAATTCTAGGTATTCTTCAGCTGAGAAAAAGCAATGATGGCTCTGTTGATCTTGGACATTTTTAGGATTTTGGTTTACAATTATTTCCTCTGTTCAAAGGTAGATAAAGAAATACATTAGATGCTAAATCATCTTCCACTGCACTATAGATTGCAAGGAGGATTTATTTTTCCATAAAAAATGGGAGAAATAATCATAGCTGGTACTATTGTACCACAGAGGAAGCATTAAAAAGCAGCCATTTCAGTTCTTTGGCTCATAAAGTTAAACAACAGATACAGCAAGAGTGCCATGAGTTAAAGAACCTTCCATCAACCTCCTGCTTGGTCAGTGAGGGATGACTTCACAGACATTGTTTATTCCTGACACGTTTTGCAACGTGGATTATAGAAGAGCGTATCTTACTTGCAGAAAGCCTAACTTGAAAAAAGGCAATTGATAACAGACATGCATTTTAAACCAGCAATAAGGTGCTATCTGCCTGTAGGGAGAAACGAAAGTATGTCTCATGCTCATCAACTTGCTATACATAGGGAAAGTTGTACTCTTGAGGTACTGCTTGTCTTAATTTCCTGAAAATGTTTCCTGTATAGCCTGCAGTGCTAACAGGAGTGAGTAGTAATGAATATTTCTAGTCAGTAAATTAAGCAGATATGGCTTTAAATACACATGGAGAACTGATCTATTGAGAAGGTTTTCCTTTTCTTAAGTAGTCACTTTTGAGATTAGCATTGGACTTTAATATTAAAGTACCTTTTGTGTGACCGAAGTCAGTATTAAAATAAGAAAAACAAGAGCTTTGCAGCTCCTTGGAGACAAAGTGGGGAGCAAAATAAGGAGATAAACCAAAAATGTAATGTGCCATTTTAAATTAGGAAGCAGTTCATCACCTCTACCCACCAAATGAAGTGATAGTATGGGTGTCAAATAACAATGCAGTTATATAATCAGAATTATATGGCAGGAATATGTGTGGTGAAAACCTTATTGTGGAACTTACTGCTGCAAAGTGGTCACCCATCTAATAACAGAACTGTACTATTGTTACCATATTAGTAAGGATTAACCCTTAAAAACTAGTTGGGTGGCACTGCCTTTCCCATCGGCACTTAGCCACAGCAGATTCTCACTTTCAGGATTCTGATGGCATGAGGAAAGAAAATAATTAATACACATGAATGGAAAATTAAGCAGAGCATCTGAAAAATCAAAATTTAGTTTACTGATAACATTACAACCAAAAGCTTAGTTTACTGTACTATACTACCTCCAGTTCCACTGCCCAGATCTGTCAGCAACAACCCAATTATACTATAGGCTGGCTTACTTATAGAGGGTTTGGCATCTTGGAAGCATTCTTTCAACTTTAATATGAGGTTCTGCTTTCTTTGTCTAAAAATCCAAGATTGCATGAGTTAATCAGTTATCAAATTTCCGATCAAAGTCAGAAAATGGTTGGAACAAAATCTCCGACCAACTACTCATCAGAAGGCATCAATGCCACCTTTTGGCATCTGATTTGTCCAGCCAATTAATATTTTACCACACTGGCTGACCAAATTTTGCAGCCTCAAAAAAGCTATGGGCAAAAAACTAAATTGTACCAGAAGACTGGAACAGTCTTTGGCAGATTGCACTGTACCACATTTCACCAAAGCAGAATCCACAGTTTTACTCAAATCAAAGAGCCTGTTTCCCTGTGAGCAAAAATGGCTAGCATTCCGCTTAGAGGATGCGAGATACATTTAAAAAAAAAAAAAAAAGTGATTTAACAAAAAAGCAAATATGTAATCAAGAAATGTTAAAAGAATGTTCCTTTAAGGAGAATGCTTTCTGGTAATTTCTGTGGTAATATGAAGCATTTTCACTGTATCACTGAATTAAGTGAATAAGTCCTTTAGAATCCTGTGTTACATTTTACACATACTACCTCTGAAACATAATACCACCTTAAGACCACATAAAAAAATGTGAACTTTTTTTGTTTAACTTTTTAATGGGCAATAACTTCCAATAGACATTTTTCTTCAGCTTTATACTCATTTTTAGTTAAGTGTTTGTGTTGCATTTAAGGTTTATGCTTTTTAGTTTTGTATTTTTTTTTCTCTTCCAAGCTACACAAACTTTTGACAAAGGAACGCAATGAATGATGACATGACTGCTAGCAGCAAATATCTCCAATGGCTGGTGATGGGACACTACATAGGGAGGGCTCTGAGTTACTA